TTGTTGACGAGCACCTATGGCGATGTCGCTGTAGAACGGTCGCTTGGGTGGACGCTCGTCGTCCATCCTCACACCATCCTCCGCACCACTGTAGTCGGATTTGTCCCAACATGACGTGGATGCTGAGAATTCCGGTTCGTTCCAGAATTTCTGTGTTTGGGAATCCATCTCGCCACCTCAGTTTTAGTATTCTCCGGCGACAACTGACGTGGAAGTGATTAAATTGCCTGACTTGTTTATCGTAGACTTGTAGCGACTAAGTAGTGAGAGTGTGTACTCTGAGCGCCCCAATCTTCAGGCCAAATACCGAGTTGGAGGAAAAGACAGGAGACACCAGAAGGAAGGGTTTATTGTATACAGAATCCGCGGTTGTCCTCTCAGGCGGCAATGGCCGTTGGCGAAGCCAGAGCTGGTGTTGACTGCGTCCAGCCAGGCCTGAGATTTTATGGCAGCCACTTTTTTAGGCTCGTAGGCCAAGCTCAAGTAGTGTCCAGTCAGTGTGTGTTGCATTTGCCGAGGGGTGGTGTCCCAGTGGCTTAGGTTGTGGTTGCAGGGAAGAGGTGCGTTCAAATAGCCTCATGGGCAGCTGCGGATGTCCCGAGCCGTCGGTCGTGTGGTTTCAGGTCAGCGCGTCTAGAACGGCTCACTGCAAAAGGGTGAATGACCTTGAGGCAGCGAGGTCTAGAACAATGACGCCAGGCCGGTCATGATGGCTGCCCGCTACAGCCCTATCATAGCAGGTGACAGTTCGACCATCGGTTTCGATGATGTCCACCGTGTGCCCCACAGTTGCAGCAGCAATGGGAGCAGGGACGGTGACTTACGCAGGGGTTTATAGTGCCGGTAGACTTGCGTAGCATCTACCTACACTCTCTCCTCCTCCCCCGCCTGGACCCGGTGTCAAGACAGAGTCAAGAAGACCGGAGACGAGGGAGGCCGCAGGTGGATGGCTCGGACGGATCCTCACCTTGGCGTTCCACCACACCCCCTGGTCCACACAGCAATAACCAGGATTTCAACCAACACAACAGAGATTTGGATTCTGGCACGGCCGAAGCCGCACCTGGGCGTGCCGCCAACGCCTGGCTCGGATCCCACACTGTGGTGGGAATGCCATAAAGGCCACATTAAAAAGGAGCCATTGCAGCCTGACTCTCAGACCGCCTCCAGTGAAGGAGGAGGTCCAAGGTACCCCGTCAGTTGGCAACCTTCCAAGCCACGGCTTTTAGCGCACCGTGATAGCTTCAAGCGCGTCAGATTGTTTATAGTGAGGAGAAAGTGCGCTGAGTCGTCGACCTCACTCTCCCTTCCCATCCCCAC